GGGGGGGGGTGAGTGCGCAGGTGCCTAGGGCCACGTGTTCCGGACCCCGCGCATCATTTCAGTTTTTCCGAAAAGCGCGGGAGTGGCCCATTTTCACGTTTAATGGGAATTCAACGGGATTTTTTCAGTTTCAACAGGATTCAACTGGAGTTTAATTCCCCTGTTCCCCGTTAAAAAGACACACAGACACCCAGACTACGATCCCACAGCAACTACACTAGCCTACAGAAATGACAAGCAACCAGTTGACGTCAGCAGCAGCGACCAAAGTACATGCAGATGTCGACTATGCAGACCTCCGCCAGGACTAGGTGTGTCTCACATCACCTCTCCCTTCGCCCTCTTTATGCTCACCCTCGTCTTTTCCCACAGCTTCTTCTCATCTCCGAAAGACCACCTCCATACCCGGCTGACCAACCTCGAGCTCATGCCCAGCTATGGAGGGTGAGCTCCGGCGCTGCTTCCAAACGCCCACTTCCCTTGGACCGGGCTCGCCCGGGCACCTAGCGCTAGCAGCCTTCGCGAGTGAATGCTCCAGCCGTGCTGCCGCCTCGCACACAAGTGTCTCAATGCCTGACCCACGGGCCACATACAGGTATGCCGAGGGCTTATATCCCCACACCATGCTAGCTAAAGGGGACAGCGGTGACTGTGCGTTTAAAATTTGCGAAATTTAAAGTTATATTTTAATAATTTCATTGCTTATTTCTCCCCATGCTAGCTTGCAACACTTGTCTTTGCTGCGACTAAAAGGACCTTTACGAATCAGACCCCAAATGGATACCCCATCGGCAAGGGGCCTTGTCGGCCAGAACTTAAATTTACGCGCAGCAACCGAAAAGACAAAGTTCCTGAGATGAATGTCGCATCCATAATGAAGTGAAAGGTCATTTTGAAAGGTCACAAACAGATCCTGGACGAACAGGTGCTGGGCACAATTTTCAAGACTGAGTTAGGGTCATGTCTCCTCAGTGAAAAGGCATGTCTGTTCAGCAATGAGTCGAAGGCTACAGTCCCAGTCCAGTCATAATCCCACGAGTCAGTCCTGATTCAGACCAGGAGTCCAAAAGACAGGCCCGATGGCCCAAAGCAGCAGCAGACCATGGGAAAAGATACTGGGACACACACTTTGCAACTATCAGTACTGGGCAGGAGTCCCAGGCCCCTTTGAGGCTGAATGCAGGCCACGCCAGACCAGTCCAGCACTATAAAGGACTGGCCAGCCTCCCATTTGGACAGATGCTCACTTCGCATGAGAGTGTGGAAGTGTCGTGGCACTTGTGCGCTAGATGTGTGTGAGCTGCGCTAGGCTGAAGAGCAGCGCTGTGTGAGAAGGAAGAGAGTGCTGGCTGAAGGGAAGGCAGCCATACCTGCGCCAGCAGAAGTTAGTAGCAATAGAAGGGTTAGTAGTAGTAGGAGTACCAGTGAGTAGTATTCAGAGTAGATCCTCGTGTGATAGGGAGTGTGCATGCATGACGAGTGAGAGTAGACCAGTACTATAGACCAGGAGGGGGAGAGAGAAGAAAGCAGACGAGAGAGAGGGAGGTGTGAGATATGGTGATACTTACCTATTGAACACTGTTGTTTAATGTTCGGCAGCTGATGCTGATAAGCGCCAGGCTTGGGAACTCATGTTGATTGGAGAAGACTTGTGACTATGATTGGCGCTGTACATTTGGACTTAAGATGTGCCCTCCTTACTCTGGGTTTGTTAATTAATTAAGTTGAACTTCCTGGTTCTCATTCATCTTCTATTGGGCTTTGTGTGAGACATCGCAACTTGGGAAATGTGTGTGAATGCATGTGATGTGAGCACTCCAGCAAGTATTGAACAGTCGGGTTCCTTGCACTACCGTGTGTGATTGTTAATTCTCAAAATCTTCTTCTTTTTTTTTCTTCTTCTTTTTTTTTTTTTTTGCTGACTCTGGTGTTGTTCTCATTGATCCGTTTTTTTTTGTTTTTGTTTTTTTTTGCAGAAATTGTTTCCGAACGAGGAAGTGATGCGTGGTTCTACCTCCCAGTGGAGGACCTCCTTCCGGAGCAGTTTAAGGCCGATGCGGCCAAGTACAGGAAAGGGACCGACACCATGGATGTGTGGTTTGATTCTGGTATGTCTTTTTTTTTTCAGGAAAAAAAAAGAAAAGATGACATAAGTCACAGAACTGGTTTCACAATTTTGAATTTTCATTCAACACTGAAAAAAAAAAAAGTATACTACACAGTAACTACAGTATATTACTATATTCTATAAAATCTGCACAGATTTCCCAAAGTCCATATTTCGTAAACGTGAAAAAAAAAAAAAAATCAGCATCCAGACTGATCCAGTGCCATACACTGTACGTAGTAGGTGAAAGGTCCACGCTAGGCTCTACATGAACCACATGCCGAGAAAAGAAAAAAGAGGTCCTTTAGTGTGGGCGTTTCATTCATTTCAGGGAATATATATATATTTTTAATGTCTTTGTGAGTGCAAATTAGACTCGAGACGGTCGAAGCACACATGCACGAGACACACATTGCAATATCACAGGCATGCAGTCGCAACGCATAGATAGAAACTGCCGTCGAATACTCTTTGAGTTTCTGAAAATTTCCAGCACACTCCACTCAGACAGCATTACTGCAAGCCGCCGGCAGCATCGCCATGCCACACCACCCAAGACGCCAACCAGTCCGGTAACCGGAAAGCCAACGGTCGCGCCAGCATCGCCAGGCCACACACGCGAACCAATCCGCTACCCAGACGGCCAAGAGAAGCCATCACAATCGCCATGCAACACACGCGAACCAATCCGCTAGTCCGACACCCAAGAGAAGCCGTCACGATCGCCATGCCACACACCGGAACCAATCCGCTATAACCCGACAGCCAAGAGGAGCCGTTGGCAATCGCCATGCCAGACATACACGAGCCGATTCGCTAACCCGACAGCCAAGAATCGCGCCGCCATCGCCATGCCACACACCCAAGACGCCAACCAATCCGCTGACACGACAGCCAAGAGAAGCCGTTACGATCGCCATGCCGCACACGCGGACCAATCCGCTAATCCGACAGCCAAGAGAAGCCGACACGACCGCCATGCAACACACGCGAAGTAATTCGATAACCTGACAGCCAAGATTTGTGCCGCCATCGCTGCCATGCTACACACCCAAGACGCCAACTGATCCGCTAACCCGACAGCCAAGAGTCGCGCTACCATCGCCATGCTACACACGTGCCCGCCACCATCCGCATGCCACATACCCAAGACACCGCGGCCAATCGGCTGACCCGGCAGCGAAGAGTCGCGCCAATGCTGACTCTCACTCATTGGTGTGCGGGCACCAGAAGGGGAGGGGGGAAATACAAGGACTAAATAGTTTACTAAATACTAAACAGTCTTCTTGAAATTTCCTTGATTGAAATGTGAAGCCTGTTACAGGGGAGAAGGAAAAGTCAAGGAATAAAATTTTCAAAAAAAAAAAAAAAAGCCGGTGATTTTGTATTTCAGCTGCGGAATCGTGGGGATTTTTTTTTTTTTTTTTTTTTTTTTCAACTGCGGAGTTTGTGTGCATGCGAGAGGGGGGGGAACCATTACGGCCAGTACGCATGCAATGGGGGTGACAAGGGAATGAGGGCGAATGTGAAGCAGGATTTGGGGCATGTACATTCTGTGGACGGAGATGTCAGGGTTTTGATATTAATATTTTGATTTAATTTGTTGAAATTATTGAAATTAATTCAATTTAATTAATTGTATGGAGCAGCGGTAAATCTTTCTGATATGTTCAAACTGCTGCTGCTCCTTTGTGCATCTGAACATCCTAAAAACACCTCCCTCCTCCCTCTCCTAATCATTCATCCTCTTTCCCTACTCCTCTTGGACCCCAGAGAAGCCAGGTTGGTCCTTTTTTTTTTCCCTTTCTTGAAAGGACCATTTCTCGATTTATGCGTGTCATCCTTGCACAGGGGCCATGCTTATCTAAGTCCCTGGAGGGGCGGGACCACACGGCTGTCCTGTTTATTGGTGACTTTGTTGATGTAATTGCCTTGGGCCCTGGGCCCTGGGCCCTGTTAATAAAGCTGCAATTTCAATTTCGAGGGAAAAAAAGGGAAAAAAAAACAGTTCATGGGTATGCCTACCACTCAGCCACATGGGATGGGTTAGCTATACACCTCTTCCAATTTTTAATCCAATGTTTTAAAATTGTTTTTCATACACTTCTTTTACTTTTTAATGATTTAATCCAATGTTTTAAAATTGTTTTTCATAAATTGAAAAATTTTGCTTTTACTTTCTTTACAAGGAAAAGCAAGTGTATGGTTATGAAATTTTCTTCTTTTTTTCTTAATAAAATTTCTTTTGAATGAATCTGTTCCTGTATTTGTGCCAGGTTCATCATGGGCTGCCGTTGTTCAGAAAAGGGATACTCTGGCTTGGCCTGCTGATCTATATTTGGAAGGAAGCGACCAGCATCGTGGATGGTTTCAGTCGTCGCTTCTGACGTCAGTTGCAGCTACTGGTATGATTACTTTTTCTTTTCTTTTCTTTTTTTAAATAATAGCCAAGGAGAAGAAATGTGCAATGGACCTTGTCTCGCTGAGAAGCCAAACAACATTGTCACACTCATCTGAACCTAGCGCTCAATATGAAGTCTCCAAATAATCACAAGTTCATGTCATGATTGATTGCACACGTCATCAAAATCGAACAATCGTAGATGAGAGTTGAAGAATAGATGGAGGAGAGAATAGGCATAGAAGAGGAGGAGGATAGTTTCATTAAAAATCAAGAATACAGTTAATACTTGTATGTTGCTTTCCTGATCCCACTTCCTCTTTGGGCTTCTCCCCTATGGCCACCGGTATGATTACTAAATTACTAAATATTATAATTTATTAATTAATTTAACAATTTATTTCTATCATTTCGTTAGTATTTATTAGTGAATAATAAAGAAAATGTCTTTGTTTCCTCCTCCCCCCCCTCCCCCCTCCCCCCTCCCCCCTCCTCCCACCATGGCAAGCGTACCCATTTTTTGGGGGGGTTGCGGGGTTCCACTAATGCTATGCAGAAAAATAAAATGAACAACTTCTGCTTTGGGGTCACATCGAAATTCTTTACCAAATGTAAAATAAAAGATAAGATAAAAATAATTTAATTTAATTTAATATTTTACTATTTTTGCAAGGATTTGAATTTTCAACCCTCAGCAGTGTTGGAAAAAGGCCTTGCCCACCCTAAGTGAAGGCGGGCCTGCAAATATGCGGCGCTAAGTGAAGGCCTGGGTACAGGCCAATGTGAACACGCGAAAGGGCTGAAGCAGAGCCTGTTGGAATCTATATGCGGGTCTGGATCTTGGACGAGGACTGTCTGTGAGTTTTCTGTGCCTATACCTCACGCCAGACAGTTTCCATGCACCAGTTGCAGCAGCCGCGCCAGGCAGTTGAGCCCTTCAACAGAACCTGGCCCAGGGCACATTCAGTTGGGGCCCAGGGTGTTTGCCTTAAGAGGCCGACATGTCACACAGCGGCCGTGGACTGATGGACGTGCAGCTATGTCGTCACGCAGGGCGATTGCCAAGGGCCAATCAGAATGCAGCGAACACTCGGAGCACTGCATCGGGCCCAGGCCAGTAGTATCTGAACTGGTACTGGGGGCAAATACTTTGGCCCAACGTGACGCTACTGGGCCCCAGCACATGAGGCCCAGCGGAGGCGGAAGCAGAGGGTGCACTTTCCACAAAGGAAAGTTCCCGGCCCTGCCCAGGGACATTCTGGCCAGGCAGACAATGCGGTCATGCTGCTGCATTGCTGCGCGAAGCAATGCTGCGCTAGCGCTGGCCAGGGTGCGCACATGGGCGTTGAGAGGTGTGGGGCGCTGCTGCGGCAGCAGGCACCAGGCGGCCATAGCCGGGCTGCAGGGCACAGAGTGGGTAATCGGTGGTGGTGGTCTTCGGGTATCGGGGATGCACACCGTGGAAAGTCAAGGGGTGATCTGAGAAGAGAGAGAGACGCGTACCTGGTGTATGCTGGCAGTCTGCATTGGTGACGTAGTCACGTACATTGGGCTTCGGCATTGAAGCGACTCCTGTTGCATGAACGCAGTGTAGTCTTGTATAGGTGCTGAGTAGGATAGGCTGGGCGCTGAGCGCCAATCAAGAAGAGTGACATTGGATACTGTGTTGGTGTGGCGAGAGGGTGGCGAGAGGGTGGCGAGAGGGTGGCGACATTGACCTTTGAGTTCACTGTATTGATACTTATTTGGCTTGTACCTTGGTGCATTCTGCTTTCTGCTTGGGACAAGACTATCTGGTCTTCAATGTGATGTTGCAATTTGGATTTCTGTCTATCGCTCTCGCTCATATTCCTTGCAATTTAATTAATTTTTAATTATTTTAGGCCCGGTCGAGCAAAAGGTCCTGGGCCACTCTGGTAGCCGAGAATGTTTTTTTTTTTTTTTTTACTTTGGATCACCAGCTCTTTAATTGATTGACTGGTCGATTGATCATTGATTGATTATTGAATAGGAAAAACAACAAAAACTACGCACGCTAGTGTGTGTGAGAGTTCCTCTCTCTCTCTCTCTCTCTCTCTCTTTCTCTCTCTCTCTCTCTCTCTCTCTCTCTGGGGTCACGATGTGGCCCTGAGTGCCATGCGGTCAGGATTTCGAGATTTTGCGCGTGATATGGTCACCCACGTTGGAGGCGAAGTTAGGCGATTGAGAGACAGCGTGGGGAAATTATGTGACGGCGCCATCGAGGGTGCCAAAGCAATAGCCGCTGTAGAGAGTGAGGCCAGGCCTCGTAAAGAGCCCGTCAAGCTTAAGTTCCCAGATGCATACGGCGGGAAGAAGGAGGATAATTTTGATAACTGGGAGGCTAGTGTAAATAGTTATGTGTATTTACAGCACATCTTGACTGAGGAGCAAGTCCTCGTCACCTTCCAGGCCCTCAAAGATGAAGCGGCCAGCTTTGCCAGGTCCCTTGCGCACGCAGCCGGTTGTGAAAACAACCTGGTTGCATATTTTAAGATCACCCCCCTTCCTCAATTCTTCAAACTCCTGCGGGAGAGATTTGCTGACCCCACGAGAGGCGTTAGGGCCTCTGATAAGTTACAGACTATCCACTCACGACAGTGGAGGAGTGCAAGAGCACTCAAGGGCGTCATGGACGACTTGGTAGCCGTCCCAGACCATGGGGTCACTGAGCCCCAGTTGGTCCAGTTATTTTATCGTGCCATGCCAGAGCCCTTGAGAGGGTATTTCTTTGACAAATCTCAACAGGCCGACATCACGTATGATGTACTGAGTAGAGAGGTGGTCCTGTTCGAGTCGAAGTCCATGCCAGTATCCACTATCTGGCATAAGGACCTGGATAAGGGGAAAAAGTGGAAAGGGCGTACCATCTCTGGCCAAGTCAGGGCCAAGGATCACATGATCCTCACTTTAGAGGAAGGTGGTACAGATGAGGTCCCATATAGTCACAGATCGAGTGGGGCCTCGAAGATGAGGACAATATCGTGGGGCAGGGGAGGTCCTATGCTGCTGTCTCGGCTGGAGGGAGGCCGCAAGGTAGAGGAGGAGGCCAGAGCCAAAGGGGCCAGGCCACGGGAGGGCGAGGACCGGGCGCACAGGGGGTTGGCAGACAAGGGAACCGCCAAGTAGGAGGTAGGGGTCAAGGTCCCCCGCCAAATCGTCAGGGTTCTTGTCGGTCCCCGCAGCGACGAGGTGGAAGGCCACCTCAAGGAGGATGGCACCCAGGCTTGTCGCAGGGCAGGCCCTGGGAAATTTGGGCTTGGACCAGCGCGTATGGCAAGAACGCGTGGGCTTGGGTCAGTGCGTGTTTTGTGGTGACCCGGCCCATGTAATCAAATTTTGTCCTAAGTATAGACAAGCCCGAGGAAGCTCCCAAACCACATGAGCCTATGGCAGAGGTTGCAGGCTTGTGCCTAGCCAACTGTCCAGAGACTGCTTGTGTTAGCGTCTCTCTAGGCACGTCCCTGACAGGCGTGGGAGAGGAATTGAAGGAGGGATGCCAGCCTGGGCCAAAATGAAGAAGGAGAGTAAGGGACAATTGGTCTTGGTTGACGTAGAAGTCTTTAAGAGTAGAGTAGGGGCCCTGATAGATTCAGGGGCTACCCGTAGTTACATTAGCCGTAGAGCGCTGAAAAAGCTAAGGCTAGGTTAAAAGTCCAAAAGTTGGCAGACCCCATAGTCAGTGTCCTCGCAGACAACCGCACGATGCGCGTTGAGGATTACGTAGAGGGAGTCCAGGCGTACTTTCGCCTAGAGAAGGATGGGAAGGTGGAGAAAGTTCTCCATTCGTTGACTCTCCTCGTACAGGATGACCTTCCTTTTGACATAGTGTTAGGGATGGATTGGGGAGAGGCAGCAGGGGCCACACTCCACTTGAGAGAGCATGAGTCTAGGCTCCCTAGTCCATCAGGTGAGGTCAAGACTGCCCGCCTGTTTCATGTGTCAGGTGTAGACAACACTCTGGCACATTGCTATCTCAGTGCTCCCGCGTGCGCGCGATTAGTGAAAAAGGAGCAGTTAGAGGATCAGGTCTTTGTAGTATATGCCAAACCTGTCACTGAGCCTAAGGAAGAAGTTAGTTCCACAGATCCAACAATTGCCAAGCTGCTGGAGGAATTCAAAGATTTGACTGAGTCACCGACAGGAGTAGTAGACCGCCTGCGCATTCCCAACAGTGAAGAGATCCGTAGTCTGATCTTAGGGGAATGCCACGACACAGAGAGACACTTCGGTTGGCAGAAGACTTTAGCCAATCTGATGCATGCGTACACCTGGCCAGGAATGAAAGTTGACTGCATAGAGTATGTTCGCGGTTGCAAAGTTTGCTAGAGGAATAAGACCACTACGCGTGCCCCTCTAGGTCTTCTCAGACCCTTGCCTATCCCTGACCAACCTGGAGATTCAGTCTCCATTGACTTTATGGATGTCGGTGTCAAGAGTAGACACGGCAAGAGCCAAGTCATGGTCATAGTTGATAGATTCAGTAAATACGCAGTTTTTGTTCCTTTGCCTGCAGAGGCACGTACGGAATTAGTCATTCATAAGTTTTTTGGTCATTGGATTAGCGATCGCGGAGTTCCTTTGTCTATTGTTAGTGATAGAGACACCCGCTTCACCAGCCAGAACTGGCAAGAACTGATGAAAGTCTATGGGTCAAAGTTGTTAATGTCATTTGGCTGTCATCCAGAGACTAAGGGTCAGATAGAACAGATGAACAAGATCCTGCAGCGAGCTTTGCGCATGTATATTAGACCGGATCAAGTCAATTGGGACAAGATGTTGCCCAAGGTACCCAGCGCATACAATAACAGCGTGCATTTGTCTACCTGTCGCACTCCCAACAAGTTGCACAAGTCCTTTAGACCCCGCAGACCGTTTGAGGGACTTACCCGGGATCAGATTCACAGGCTACCGCCCGAGACCAGGGAGTTCGCAATACAGCACGAGAGAGAGAGCTAACAACTGTTGTTCAAAACCTCAGGAAGG